AATCGTGGTTATACCCCCTCCTCGACTGAAAACGCTTGGAGGCCTGACCTCCGACTGAACTCGAGATCTGAACACATCAGGTAGAAATGAGGTCGGTCCTAAACTTGCTGAGGCTCCAAGGAGCCGGTGGCACCAACGCCTAGCACTGGGCCCAATGGAGGAAATTCTGGAAATCCGCCTGGCGTCGCCGCAAGGACCCCTGTCAGTCCGCGCCAGATCCGAATTGTCAAGAGACGCAGGCGTAAACCCCATCGGTCCAACTCACGAACCGTGCTTGCCTACTGGAATGTACTCGCACCTACTCACTCTTTGTCATTCTCTTTGCACGGGCCTTGGCGGGGCATGCAGAGAATGCATGCCATGTGGTTGAGAGATTTCAGTAGAGGTCTGCAAGCCGATCGTCTCATTTAGACAAGACGTTTGGAAAGTTTGGACGTTCTGGGAAACGGTGATGCCACCCTGTCATACCACATCTATCAAGCTCTCCCAAACAAGGCGAGAAATGTACTTGTTGCTAGCTTCAGCAATTCGAAGGTGCCGTTGGTTCTCCGCAACTTCTGATGATGAGTGGCATCGGTGATTCCAAGGCTTTGCTCGTGAGTTAGATGAAGAGTCTGGTTTTTATCATCTTGCCCATGAACAGGAGCTCGAAAGGCTAGGACTCCCTGTGCTACTTGACCAGCCAGCGGTGGGCAAAAATCTACAAGACCACCTCGAATTCTACGTCCAGTACTTGACGCTTGGTTAGGTAGTTGGAGGTTGCGCGACAAGGCAAGGGCAAGAAACAGTTTGAGCATGTTTGAGCATATCAGTGTACCCTGAGTACTGAGGAGCCGTTTCCCGTGTTCGCTTTACCCCTGGGCGGCGACGTTTCCGGGTCTCGGTGCTCTGTCAAGGTATGCGTATCGCCAGCCCTGGAGGGCAATTCATGCTGGGCTTCTCTGGATGTTGGCCGGGGCTGGCATAGGCTCTTCGAATCATTTCGAAGTTGGCGGCTTTATTAGATCACGCCCAGGGATGCGACATCCCGACTTGCAGTACCACTTCATTCCGGGGATAGTTACCGGGCAGCTGGACTTTCTGCCAGAGCATGGTTACCAAGCTCACTGCGGCACAATGCGCCCAACCAGCCGCGGTACAGTTCAGCTCCAAAGTGCCAGCATTTTGGATGCACCACTCATCGATCCCAACTTCCTCTCCACGGAGGAGGACCGACGCGACATGCGAGCCGGCCTGCGCCTGACAGTGGAGATCATGGAGCAGGAGGCCTTGAAAGACTTCAAGCTCAAGCGCTTTGCTCCCGACAACCTGGACTTGGACAGCGATGATGCCGTAGATGCATGGATTCGCTCCTCAAGCCATTCAGGCCCTTGGGTCACGCGGACTCAACACATGTTGAAACATGCACCGCAAAAGCTTGACTGCGCAGTCAGTTGCCTGACTCCTGACCATCAGGATATCATCTCTCATGCACCTGTGCCATGGGCCAAGTTGTGGACGCAAACGGCAAGGTGAAGGGCTTGGAAAAGCTGCGAGTAGTGGACGCATCCATAATGCCATCAATGACAAGCGGAAACTTGAATGCGTGCCAGCCTTAATCTCCAAGCAGATCGACATCTCTCAGACCTTTCTCGCTCTGAGCCTTAGGCCAACCATCATGCTAGCCGAGAAGATTGCTGACAACCTTTGTGGAAATGAAGCACTGCCGCCTGCGGAGGAGTCAGCCTGCTTCATTCGCTCCCGATGAAGATCCTCTGTCCCCAGTTTAAGCCTTAGCATAACAATGTCAGCCTCCAGGCAGTAAGTTTGAAAGGTTGTTCAACTCCAGATCATGGTAGTCTGCCTATCACTATTATCCTGCGGGCCATGTAGAGATGAGACTTATGGGCTGTTACAGTGCAAAGGATGCTGATATATTGGAGCTACAAAACGCCAAGACAAGAAATCATGCTGTCTCATGACATGCGGAAGCCTCATCAAGGAGCGTGGAGACGGCTGCAGGGAAGCAACTCTTTTTTAGAATGGAGGAGCTGTAGATGTCCATGCCCCAACTCAAGGTCAATGCAGAACTGCCGTCCAAGAGGCGTGTACGCTACTCACAGGTTATAAGGCATGCTAAGAAGGCTAGGCTGCAGGTTGAATGAGGGGCAACTCAAAGAAGAAGTGTTCCCCATTCTTCTGCTGCTGTCCTAGCCTTTCCTGAGCTTGGGATCATGGGGACAAAGGTTGCCTTGAGCTGTAAGTGGAGGGTTTCGCCTCGAGCTGTAGCGGGATGCCCGGGCTGCAACCCTGGCTCCAGATTTTCAGTTGTTGACTCTTGACTTGAATTTGGGATGGCTTGATGATGCTGAACTATCATCAACTATTGCTGTCGGACATTCAGAGAGCTGACCAGAATCTTGCAGGAAAGGCGGTTGCACAATTGTTTTTGAGGTGCAGGGATTCTCGTGTTGCTTCTCGAGCGCTTGGGTGTCGCCCTGTTCCATGGGCACAATCTTAATCCTGGCGCTCGGTACTCTTTGAAAGGACCTCGAGGTGGTGTTATCGCTCCGCTTCAGCAAATCGCTCAACAGCAGTTGAGGGAAGCAGCCAGACATATTAGACATGTCTTCATGTACGCTCGATTGAAGACCTCAAGCTTTGCCTTCCACTACGCAAGTTGCCGCCCTCTGCGGAAGCCACGCGGCTGGCCATGCACAGTCGCTGTCTCCATGGCGGGTTTTGTATTGCCCTTGCCCCTTTGTCCGGGCTCTCAACTTTTGGAACAGCGAGAGGTCCTGCACAAGTAGGACTCACCTAGTGGCGCCGGCTTTTTCCGTGTGAGGGAACACGGACATACACGGACACATGGTGTGCTAGTCTACTCAACCTCTCGCATCAACTAGCAGTGTCTCATGCTGGGAGGATGCCACTTGGTACATCCCGCCTGACTACGAATCCGCGCAGTGATGCTCTCAGCCCGAATGCATCAACAACAGATTTCTCAAAGAAGTACTCGGCACTGCCTTGCCACAAAAGGCGGTGAGCATGCAGCGGAGATTCAACATTCTCGAGATCCTCATCCTGCTGTGAGGCAGCTGTTTGAAACTTATGTTTTGCAAATTCTGTTGCTCTTTGTTGTCGAAAGGTAGCTGTTTTCAGGGTGCTTGGCTTCTGTACAGCTGGCCTCCCCTCTTGGAGTCAAGTGAGCTGTGCAATCGGAGATCAAGGGATCTCCGTAGATTGCTGTGCTCTTTGGAATAGTCCTGTGCAGCGCGTCGACTTGCAAGAGCCTGCTTCATCTTGCTTCTGCCCCAACATATGTAGACTTGCCTGACACTTCTTTTCCATGTGCACGTGCAGTGGCCCTACTGCCATGATTTGCAGGAGAGCTTGACTTGCGTCAGCTGAGTGCTCAAGTTCGCGTTCCAGAGCACAATCCCTTGCTGCAGACATCTAAAGTACAGCACTGGCTGTTTGCATTCCGGATCGGCTCAGCTATGTACAAGTAGCAATAATAGTAACATCGGCTCTCGTTAGTTTTGGTCAGCAAATGCTACCTCACTGCCTTCTTTGTGTGAAACGGTTGCTGGAAGTTACATGCATGCGCTGCTTCATGTACACAGCCTTCTGGCCAAGCGCAGCTTGGGGCCCGGGACGTGAGCGTGATGCAACAGTGTTTGCAGTGATCATGAGGCCTGCAACCATGCCAGCAGGGACGACGGCTTTAGACCTTGTGCAGGGCATCACCGAGTGACCACTCTCTGCATGCAGCATGAAGCCTGTCATCACGCCGTTGAAAGCATGAATGAGCACGTAATCTGGGAGGTACAGCAGCCGCATCGCGCTGAAGATGCTTTTTCAGCAATTCGGCGAGGTCCGCAGCAGAAGCGGATGTCAAGCTGATTTTGCAATGCTGAAATCGCCAGGTTACGGCATGCTGGATACCTCCGCTAGAGCATCGAAGCAACGAGAGAGCGTCCCTCTTCTACAAAAAGTCAGTGCTTGGCAGATGGGTGTAGAATCACCTCAATTGCAAGGTACGTCAAATTTGGTACCACCAAGGCAGCACAGGCGCCCTGGGTCACAGGAGTCGTTATTTGCTGCACTCACCCCACACATAAGCAAGCAAGTGAATCCTTCACAATGTAGACATAGCTAGATATAGCTACGGTAAGAAGCAGTGCGGGCTGTTCCGATGAAGTGCAAGGCCGCCTTTGAGGCTTCTCAGGCAGGCCAGTTATTTCTAGCTGTGAGCTCAGCTTGTGCAAGCAAAGAAAAGCCCTGCAGTCTTGCCTTACCTTATCCCAAAACATGCGAGGACGGCGTAAGCCTAAAAGCCGAGTGGCGAATGGCACCGGCCAGGCCACCCCAGATAGTCTCGTGTCATAGCGGAGGGTTCTCGTTTCAAGATGTTTCAAGTGTTTGGGGTCCGGAGGTAGGGGCTTGCCAGAGGATCTTGACTTGGTCTTCAGGACCCAAGATGCTCGTGACTTCGAGGCACGAGGTAGCAACTTGATGACGCCTCTCGGCACGGAACGCTAGTTGATGCTAGTTGTGGCAGTTGGGCTTACTCGACTGGAGCAACACTGGAGACGTAACTGCACTTGGCTAAAGCTTAAGGTCACGTGATCTGATGCGTGCGCAAATGCGTGGTGGAGGAAAAGGAGGTTCAGCATGGGGCTCAGTCTTTCAGTGGAAATTTGCATTGTGAGTCGCTGGGGCATCGTCACGCAATCAAGGGCCGCGATGACCGCGGGGGAGGTGGCAAGGGCAGACGCGACTTGGATAGCGGTGGGTCTCGCGCTCTCATGGATCGGGTCTCACACCCAGGTTCATTCAATCATAAGCACACCGGGTTTTCACACACAACGAAAGTGCCAAGTGGTCAGGTTTCTGGAGGCTCAAGGCGCAACGATGACAGAGAAAGAGACAGGCCATGCGATGACACGTGACAAGTGCTTGCAGATTGTGCCTGCTGTCAGGGACAAGGATCGAAAAGCAAAGGCTGCTGCACAGTGCACAGAATTGAAGCTTTTTAAGTTTCTGTCGTTGCTACCCGCGGAATGCCTGTTGAAAGTGCGTGCCTGCTTTGGTTGCAGGAAAGGGAAAGAAGTCGCGAAAGAGAGAGGCCGTTTGGGAGCATGAGCCGTCGTTGTGCTCCTACTTATTGACTGGCAGGAAGCGCAGAAGCCGGACCCGCAGCCGCGACCGCAAGCGCCGGGAGCGCTCGCGGAGTCGTAGCCGCAAGCGCTCCGAGGAGCGGCCTGCGCTCAAGGCGTTGGAGTGTCCGGGCATGTGGAGATATTGCTAGGACTCAACCCGCCTCGGCAGGACGGTGCGGTTACCGTCGACGAGGAAGATGAGGGCACTACTGCCGTGATCTAGCTGCGTCATCCCCTCATTCATGGGAAAAGCTACTGCAAAGCTCATGTTGTTGAGCCATAGTGAGAAGATGTGTTGAGGCCTGCTTCGATATCTCCACCAGCTCTGTGCCCAATGCCATGCAGCATGGTGGAACTCCCTTGGCAGAAAACTTCTTGCGACGACAAGGTTCTGTGCCATGCCCGTACATGTGCTTCTTGGACTCAGACAAGAATATCTTGACATTCTTGACAAGAACGATATCTTTGGCGCAGCTTTTTTCCAGCATTCTCATGATGGTTTTCTGCCCACAGAGTTCACATCTGCCAATGATATCCACATAGGACATCAGAGGACCCCTCCTGACCCCCTCACAGTGTAGCCCCCTAGCCGCAATTTCATTTTGAAGCCCGTGCAGTATGGGCTAGCTGTGCTGAAGAGGAAGGGGACTTTTCTGCTGCAGACCACTGCTGGATATTTTTGTTTTTCTGCTAGGCCTCTGCAAGTATGGCGGCAAGCCTGTGTGGTGCTGCAGGCTTTCATAGTCACCGCTGTTTGGATTCGACATGGTGTGTCAGAGGCCAAAAGCGAAGCACGGTCAGCACCTTCAGAACCTGATGCGTCGCAGGCTCCATGCTACGTCGTGTTTCATGCATGCTTCACGCTTTCTTGCTCTTGACTGTTGCGGATTTCGTGAGAGAGAGAGAGATGATTCCAAGTCCCAGGGATGCATTTCCCAGCTTCCATTCGCGAGATATCATCGACCAAGAGATCCAGCAGCTGTGCGAGCAGTGGCCAGCGATACTTGAAGATAACACAATCATTCGAAAAGCGCAGGGGCGTTATCGCATCAATGGTCGAGAAGTTGCCGTCTCCTTGCGCATGCGAGAGGCCACGCGAGAAGAGGAGGAGAGCGTGTCAAAGACTCCGTCCTTGGAGGGATCTAGGGTGGAAGGGCTGGAGTCGGACGACCTCATTGTTCGGGATGGGCCGCTCAAGCAGCCATTCCTTGACTACGTTTTTGATACCGGGCAGAAGGAGTCTTACACCATGGCCGAGCCAGAAAAGGTCGATGCAGCGAAGCCCGCCCAGTGGTCCAAGCCTTTGGCACCTGACCTAAAGGGCGGTCAGCTGGCAGTCCAGGATGATCGACTGGAGGCAAGAGCATTCATGATACTCTGACATGAGCTAAAAATGCTCAGGGACATTTCATGAATCCTTAGGGTGGCAGCATGTGTCGGCTACGCATGCCACGTGTGAAGCCGGAAGGCAATGGGTATTGCGTGGAAGACTCTGGCAACCTCAGACGCCCTTGCCCTCAGCGAGTTGCCGCAGATGCCACTGCCACCTCCGCTGCCAGGTACTCAGAAATCTCAGAAGTAGCACGGCTAGGGTTTTCTGTGAAGCTTCTGATGTTAAAGCTTCTGACGTCTCAGGCCCAGAAGCTCTGAGCCTGTTCAGAATGCTGCAGGCAAGGGCCCATGCCTGCTGACAATGGGATTCTTGGAACGATAGATTTTGGCAGCCTTTCCGTGTTCGTGTGGCAGAGGCATCCAGTTGGCGAGGGCCTTTCCGGATGCCTCCCGGTGACCTCGCAAGCATTCAGTTTGGCTGTGGTCCCGATGCCAGATCTAGCATGTTGAGGAGCTGACTTCTTGCTTTAGGATTTTGTATGAGCCTGTTATAGCCCGTAGTTTGCTGTGCAGCTTCAGCATGGCTGGAGAGACTAAGAGGATTAGAGTGCTTGGCTGGGTGCTGCAAGGATGGGCTGAGCGCCAGGAAGTGGCCTTAAGCTCAGCTCCCGTCATGAACGGTTTGCCCTTGAGGTTCTGCAGAAACCATGATGCAGAGGCACCAGCAGTCACATTGGCTTCCATGTTTTGGTTTGAAGTCGTAAAACACAAAGCCTTCTCTGCAGGCCGAATGTCTTGTTGAGATTGTCATGGACCTGCCCATTGCGCCGGCCAACAATTTTCCTGTCTGTCAAGTCTTCTGCACTCCTCAGGTGCCTGGGAATGAGTTCAGTTCCTATCCTTTTTGTTTGTCGTAGCCATGTAGTGAGTGCACGCTTGCCCGTGACATGAACATCCCTTCTTGAAGTTCGACTGCTTGCGTTGCACTGCGCGGGGATGCACTCCACTGAGCAGGAACTGCAGCAGCCTCGTAACAAACATATGCACAACAACTGTGGACCTAGTAGACCTAGTGGGTGATTGCTGTTAGAATGATGCCCTACGGAATTTCCCTTTCTCTTCAGGAACTGGAGGACTTCTGTAGCAAAAAGCGCTGATGTTTGACAGCCCCATCTGATGTTCAAAGTGAATCAGCAACCAGGGATCAGCAGATGGTATGTGGGAGTATCCGGTATCCTTTCGTGACACTGGTGTGCAGGGGTGCGTGCATGCCTGGGGTTGCCACATTCATTCTACATCCTGGCAACTCCCTGCCTTATAGTCGGATATCATAAGCTATTTTCAGCAAGCTTCTCCAAATCTTAGCAAGTGTTGCCGTTGGGCCCTGCCCGGAAGCACTATAAGGACAAGCGAGTCAAAAGTTTCTGTAACGTTCTACAAGATCTGCTGTTGCGAGAGCGGGGCTATGTTCTCGCTGTGTTCAAGTCTTGCAATCGATCTGTAGTGATCTGTAGCTTGACGCATCGAACGTGGAACCCTGTTAGGCATGTGCTGAGCCCACCATCCACTCGCCTATCGTGATGGGTCCGCATGGTGCCAGCTCAACAAAGCCGTGCGTCGAGGAGTTGCAGGAGGCCCGTGAGCTGAGCGCAGCATGCGCTGTTGTGTGCTGTGGTCAGGGGAGGGTGGGGAGGGAAGACGTTGGTTCCCAGGCCGATGTTCCTGGTCTCAAGAATTCGGAGCTCGTGACGGAGGATTTGCGGGAGGCTAGGTGCATCCTGTTCCTTTCCTTCCGCTTGGGATGGGGGTGCGATTTGAACAGCGCCGCGCAGCCGCGTTTTCCCGTTTTACATGCTGTTCGGCAAGGGCACCTAAACCTGTTTCAGGCTGATTTGAACATCTTTGCTCTAAGGCTGGCAGGAAACTGAACCTGAAGCCGAAAGTCCATGACATCGTTGGCATGAGCATTTGTGACTTCACACCTGACTGACACGTCTGCACCAACTGTACACGTGAGCACGACTGTTGCAACCAAGCACACCAAAAAAGTGTGTGCTGCAGAAACTGTATCCTCTAATCTTGCCAGTTCAGGGGTCTGGCTTTTTCGAATCTAGCCTTTTGCTGATACGTCCAAGTGATCAGCCTGGATATCCTCCTATCTCAAGAGAAGCTTCGTTGGCAGATGTCGCTTGCCCTGCTCGAAACTGATACTTGTATGAAAGCATCAGCGCATGTACCCTTGAGCAGGCTGACATGCAATTGCGACACAGAAAAGCATTCATTTTCCTTGGTGGACAGGGTTTCCGCGCACATCCCTGCTGACAAGGTCAAACACCAAATTGACGAAAACTAATTTGTTTTAGACATTGAATTGCCACGGGAGCAAGCAGTTCATCCCTATTTCCCCTTACGGTCATGGTGAGGATTCATTCCAGGTGGTATGGCCTTCCATGAGTTCATTCCAAACGAAGCATAGAAGGATTGATGAAACATGTCAATTGTCTCGCACTCCGTGTCGAAGAATGACAGGACGTCGAACATGTAAATCCCGAGTGGCTTTTTTGTGCGCCCCTGAATCGCCATTCCAAACTGCTTTTAGCGACGTTGCATTCCATTTCAGGAAGTTCTTCGTTGCGGAGTTGCAGTTTTTTGGATTCGACGGGCCACCTGCGCAAATGAAACTCGGATAACAGAAGCCCTGGTCGCGCGGTTTGAGGCGTCACGTGGTCGATTCCGAAGGGCAGCTGGCTGCAAAGCTGCGGTGAACAAGCAGGGGCATGGGAGTGGATCTTGCGCAAAAAAGCATATCCTCATTTTTCACGCAACAAAAGTTGCAAGTGAGACGATGTGATCAAACATACAGAAGACTTGCGTCAGGCTGTCATTTACCGCGAGTGCCTAATACGCGGACACAGTAAATTGCGCAGAATTTCGCTATCTCTCCTCTTCAGATTCTGAGTCATGGAACATCAGGGTGTTAGTCCTTGAGGTGTTAGCCCTTCATGAGAATGAAGGAGACCTCTCAAGGCTGTCAAATTGACTTGCCGAAGTTCTTTGGTCACATGACAAAGCATGGAGACCCAGAAGTGGGAGACTGCTCCAAAACATAGGGAGCTGTCAAAGCTCAACATGTCGAACTTCAATTCGGTAGGTGAAGTTGTGAAGCAAGTTCTTTCCAATTTTGACAATCCAGTACCGTTGAAAGTGGTCCCGGTGTTGTTTCACAAGACCCAGTTGTACATCGCCCTGATTTTTGGACCAGTTCCATTCCCTTGCTCGAAGATGTGGAAATTGAGTGTCCAAGATCACACGCTTTGACCAACCAAAGGCTCTAGCACAAGACCAAGGGTGGGAGCGTTTGCAGCACGAGAACAACAAATGGAAAGGTCGCAAGTTGCAAGATGCAATCGCCTAGTTTAAGTAATTAGCCAGCGAAACTGGATTCTGACCACCCAGGTACTGAGATCGAGACATACAGGGTGAAACGATGAAGATAGTTTGAACGTTTCATCAGGAGCAACAAAACTTCGACAAACCTATTGGGAAATGTGCTAACCGCTAACGATAATGTGTGCAAACTTGGGTGAAACTAAGCTGCAGTATCCTTGCCGTTGTTTTTTAGAAGTAGCCCCTGTTGAGTTTTCGCGGAGGTTGTGGTTGTTGTTGTTGTTGTTGTTGTTGCTGTTGCTGTTGCTGCAGCTGCGGTGCAAGCTCTCTCTGAACATGTCACCGGTTTGGGATTGATTAGCCGAACTTGTTGCAGTTCCGTTTCAGGCCCCCCAAATTTCCATGAGAGCGACAGCTTTCCCTCGTGCATGGGTTTCTTTGGAGGGCGAAAAAATCACACACATTGCGATTTGAGAGCACCCATAATATCCAGTCCAGGCGTCAGCGTATACGGCCCAGCGGTGATCGGATGATGGCTTGTGAAAAACAAAGTGAAACTTTGGGTGGTTTTCGTGGGAGGTACTTGCTGATATGGACTTGATATGTCCACAACGGAGCAGTCCTCCTAGCATCATTCCACAGCTGCTCTTATTGCTGTGCTATGCTGTGATGCAACTGAGATACAAACTCTCGAAGGCCTTCTGGCCAGTCAGGTTTATACATGACCCGGCCATACAGGCTGTAGCTGCTGATCGTGACTCCAGCTACATCTGCAGAAACTGCCACACCATGTTGAGCCAACTTGGCTTTGGCCTTGGCTAGCGGCTAGCTGATCCTCAACAGCTTTATCATCCTTGTAAGAAACAACTTCACTGCACAGCTTGTCTATGTACCGAGGCTTCTTCGTGCTTGTCAGGCACAGCCTCTTTGGTGAAACATGAACGCGCAGCTTCGAATGTCATCTCCGGTTTCCAGGTTTTTCTTGAGCAAAGAGGCAACCAAAATCTGTCTTGCTAACTGGCAATGTCCATACGAAGCTTTGGTAGCGGCCGTCACTGATCAAATGGAAGGAAAACTCATGAATTTCTCGGTGGGACAGTTCCTGGCTTTGATGTCTGTCTTCCAGAGTCCGATGGCTGCACCCTTGTAAACAATTGGGGTATTCATGTGCGGTTTTTGTGCGGAGGCCCTGATTCACGGTTTTTGGATTGCACAGCATGGCTGCATGACACATGGCAGTGCGACAGGTTGTGTGCGGCATGTGAACCACTTGCTGCCGACTTTGCAAAAAACGTGTGCTGATTGTCGAACAGGTGTCCGTGCCAAGTGCGTGTGGCAGCATGATTCATGGCGGTTACCTGTGCCAGATTTGCTAGATTTTTGACTGGAGGTTTTGAAGCAGATGCCACGATCGAAGCAAGTCTTCTATGTGTAGGCGGAAACGGCGCCCATACAGACTCCTCTGCGAACAAAGCTGGTCTGGATGCGGTGACCACCAACGGCATACCTTTGACAAAGTCGGGTCCCTTCCCTCTCCCAAAGCCAGGCTTTTCAGGCACTGATGAACGCGATAGCCATGTCAGACACGTCAGTTTTGCATGCATATTTCGGTGTAAAGTTGTTCAATGGTTTTCAGTCTCGTGTGCCAGCAGGAAACCGGGTGTCAATGAGAACCCATTGGAAACCATATAGACAACTTTCCAGGCAGTACTTGTCTTGTCTTTCTCCCGTTTTTTTATGCGTGTGTTGGTGCAGACATGCCAGTTAAGAGGTAAAATCACACCTGTTCCTGGGAATCATGACCTGTATCCTCTAGCTAGCTTGATTCAGTTTTGTTCGGAATTTTGGATTGCGTTTGCGTGAAGCACTCGTGCACAGGATCAGTACAAGGAGCCATAGAATCGGTTTTAAGCATCATAGGTTCTCGTAATTAGAGATTGGTTCAGGACAAATCATGTGGCCTAGCAGAGATGTCCGGAGCAAGCATGACTTGGGGGAACGGAATGTCTGTTGAATTTCCATCGGCAGCTAAAAAAAGACAACGCTTCTAACCTTTTCAGACTTTGCGAATGAAACGCAACCTCACAAAGCACGTCAACAAAAGCTACTCAACAATCCAGAACCTCCAAAATCAAGAAGCGCAGAAAAGACCCGAGCTCGTGACCTGGTAAATCGAAGCCAACCTTTTGCTGTTTGTGTTCTGTCTTTTTCTAGGATATATACCTGCCAAACCTCTTAGCTTGCTTACACCGGCAAGAATTCAAGCTTCTGTGCTGAACGCAGGTTCTGGTGTTTGTACACGTCCCACCTGCGCTGACTTTTATGTGTTGTCCTTGCAAGATACTGAGCTGGACTGGGGGTCTAAGGTCGCCCTCGATGTACGGTTCAAGGATGGTCTGTTGGGGTCAGGGTTTTGATCTCGGGCACCTCGCACATTTCACACTTTCCGAGTTCTCTTCCAAAATCTAGCATTCACCCAAATGAGTCGTTCATTCCTTTGCGGTGACTTTCAGCGAGAGAAGTGTCAAATCTCGCTGCCATGTACCTGCATTCCCATTGTCCAAGACAATCTTGGAAGGGGATCAGCAGAAATCATGCGTTTGTTATTAGTACTCAGATTACAAAGGTATGCGACTATGCTTGGTCAAGCATGTGGCTTTTGGTGCTGCCTGCAGTTGGTAAGCTAGTGCTAGTATGGACTTGTTAGCTTATTGCAGTCCCCGACGAGTGCAACTAACTTAGTGGCGCCATCTATAAGTTGCCTCGATGGCCTACTCACTGAGAAAGCAGGCTGGAGCTGTGCAGCTGCTTCCTCTTCGTGCAGCTTGCAGCGACCCGCCGCAATGTCATCCTGACAGGATTGCATGATGTAAGAGGCATGTCGCAGGGGCTCATCGCCTGTCCACTTGTGATCGCATGTCGTGTTTCTGCATGACGTTGAAGAAGGTGTAAGACTTGCTAGGCGTAAGACTTGCTAGATCATGTGCGATTGCAATGTCTAGGTGGCAAAGCTACTTTCATCGCAGGCTCTGCACGTTTTATGACAGCTAAGGCATTATATCTGCGGCAGCATAGTATAAAGTGCAGGCGTAGGAAAGTCTGGCCATGTCAGGTAATGGCGCCGTGCAGCTTCAAAAGCGCCGGCACAAGTACGGCGAGGCCAGCTATCGTAGCACTCTCCATTGTAGTAAGTGGGATCGAGGGCAGGACAAGCACATCAGAACCAGAAGCCTGAGACGGAATTCCTGTGGTTGTTCGTGGATTTCTTGGGTTTCAATGAATTGCTGAGGCAGTGAGTCAATAAGTCAACCAGGCAATCGATCAGTCCATTGCGAAGTAGGGTGCATTTAGATGGCTGGGAGGGAAAGCGGCGTCTTGAAGCAAGTGGGGGACAGCATGGCACAGCAAAGACCCGGGAACCGCTTGCGGACCTGGCTAAACTTCTGTTTCGAGGAAATCCAGTGTTCGCTCAAAGGCTGCCATCTATAGTGTGTATACGCGTATACGTAAACGTGCACATGCACGTTTATTGAATACCGTGCAACCGACAGTGGCCCAAGCCTGCTTGCACACAGCGGTCCCAATCACACAATCCGGAGCATCACCAGGGTGGATGTGGCTGCCCAGGTGATCTTGCCAGGTGAGCTTGCGCCCGACAAGGGCCCTGCCGAAGTGGACGCAGACACTGCCTCAAGAGTAATGTTTGCACTAAACAGGGCCTTTACACAAAGTAGCGCGCTAGAATCAGACATAGCTGTTTGCATTAGCCTGTTACACTAAGCATGGATTTGTGGATGCGCTGCGGCTGGCGATTTATGGCGATATTTCCCATAATATGTTTGGGCCTTCAGGCTCATGCTGCCCCTGCGATGCGTGAGCTATTTGGCAATCGCATGCAATGGGCCAAGGCAAACAATTTGGGTAACACCTGCAGAGAGGCACACTTCTTTGGCTATCTCTGGCTTTAAGGAATGCGAGTGTGTCACGTGAGAGTAGCATGGTCTTATGATCCATCAGGTGCCGTCAAAACTACCGCCACCCTGGCCGTCACTGGCATTGGATGAGCTGCACCTGGCAGAGCTTTAGCAGCTGAGCTCAGCTGAGCTGAGTGCCAGGCTCCAGGTTTCCACAAGCTGGCTTTCTTGGATTTCACCTGTTTAGGTGCATGCAGTTCTCATCTGTAGATAGCCCCTAATTATCCTGTTTCACTCGCCTGTTAGGCGTGTCTCACCTTTTCGTATGAAAATGGGAAGCTGCCGGAGCCGAGCAGTTTGGCATTTGGGCATGGTTCTGGGCTGGCATGAGCACGTTGCATGCTGAAGTTACTGTGGCCGCAGTGCACCCTCTACATCCTTTTAGCCTGACGTCCTGACATGGGTTTTTCTGCGCTGGGATCGGCTTTGGCTGTTTTGAGTTTTTTGCCGGGTGGGGCCTCTGCACGCTTCCTGCAATGGACAGATGCCGCAATACCTGAGCAGTCAATTTCTTTTCTGAATGGCAGGGCAGAAGCCATGCACATGTAATAGTTTTGGGCCAGAAGGTCAAACTGGCAAGCCCTCAATTGCCGCATCTGATGGCCACTTAAGCTCTTCTCCTCAGTATCTCTTAGGCTCCACAAATATTCACCATCAATGAAACCCACCCCGTGACCATCCTCCACGATTTGATGTGCCGAGCAAGTCCATACAGAGGCATCAGAATCAAGACTAGGATGAATAGGCTCGCGGCACAAATCAAAGCGATGGATAATATCCGCGAAGAGGTCATTCTGTCCTGAAGCAATTTTGGATAGCACCCATATAGAGGCCCGAACATACAATTCAAATGCTGGAATCCAAGTTGATATCCCAAGTTGACCCACATGTGAATATAGGATCCGCGAATACTGGTACACTTTTTCGTGAACGCTGGCCAAAACCCTGAAAAGGAATTTTGAACAACTGGTATATCAACAGTTGGAGCAACAGCTTGCCCGTGCCTCCGGCTCGTTCAAGTTCAGCTGGGGCTGATGTTTCTTTGACGAGCCGCATCAAAGCATGATGAGGCAGATGTACATGGGTGTAACCCTAATGGGCAAACCAAGCCGTGCCATCGAACCACGTTACCAACAAGCTTCAGGCCGAACGTATTTATGGCGTCCTTGCATCTACGTGTGCACGCGTCTGCACAGCGTCTTGGAGCAAGATGGCTCTATATGGTAAATTCAGTGTGTGATCGATCTATCAGATCCTCCTTGCGAACGGAGCGCCGATTTCGAGTAGAAATCTTTCCGGATGGAGTTTGCTGTTCCACGTCCAGTGGGGCAACAAAAGAGCAAAAGCTCATGCCCCCGCGTGAAGTGTGCGACCCTCGGTTCATGGATGTTTTCAGCCTCAGCAGGGTGCGTGGTGCCAAGTGTGCTGTCACGTGCAATCGCCCCTAGCTGGTCAGGTTTTGCGACTTATGCGGTGGCAAGTTTTTTGCTCATTCGCTACCACACCACAGAAAAAGTTGTCAGAAGAAGGCCACATGTCCTGTCCGAAAGGCTGCGAGCAAGTGATGCCTGTCTGCTGTGCAGGTTCAGACTCAGATGCACGATTGCCCATACTGTGGCACGTCTGTGACACAGCTGGAAATGGACTTGCACGTGCTATCTTGCAAAGCTGCGCCGCCTGGCGCAAGTTGGATGTCCTCGTTCGGATTGGTTTGCTGCTCACCTCTTGGCAAAGATTCTTCTACGTAGGTCGTGTTGCTTGTGAGATCTGAGGGACCGACCTTGTCCTGCATCATCCTGCATTAGCGGAAGTGGGGTAGGCAGGCCTGAACAAATAGTCAGATTACGGTTTCATGTGCACATTTGTAACTTTGTGTGCTCTCCTTGCAATGCCCATCTAGCGTAGTAAAAGTGCCCCCGGGACGACAGCTCTGCCAGCTGCCCCTGCCGTTTAGGAAAGCTTGTGGGAGGCATGGGATGAGGGCTTTGTTTTATTCAAAGGACAGCCGTGAATGTTGAAGTGAAAGGATCAAATCACTGTCTGCGCATGACTATTGGTACTTGTACTCCTAGTAGATCCTGCAGCCAGCCCTTAGAATCGAACGCGTCGCAAGAGGAATGACCAGGATGATGGGGCGCCTGAATCCGAAACACCCCAACCCACTTTTCTGGGGTCCCACAACAGCATTTGGAGGCCATTAGAGCCCATAGGGGGCAGGGAGGCTCCTTTGAATCGAAGGGCCCTTCAAGGCTGTTACATGCTGTTACCATCAGCATCGCAAGCATGTTAAAAGTGTCAACCAAGACGGGCTTGACCTAAGAGAGATGGTGTGCAACTGAGGAAGGCTGCAGGCGCCAAACCAACAGGTCAAAGCGCACAGCTGAGACAAAGACTCCAGCAGGACTCTTTCTAAAGCAGTTACCTTGCTGACTCGACTGCCTGCTGGCTGGATGGAACCCGCACACTCAACATATGAGGTGGCATTTGTTGTTTTCATCCCTCTTGTCATCCTCCAATCAGCCTGTTTCTGTCTTTGCCTGTCTGCGGTGATGGGTGGGAAGGACCGGAGGGGCACTGCTGCTGCAGCTTGCGGACGTGGTGTTCTTGGAACCACCTGAAGCGCTCAAATAGTGACATGCTTGATCTGCTGTTGGCGCGTGTCTGGTGCCGTACAAGGCCTGATCTCGCAGACCGGAATCTGCTCTAGGGTGAAGGTCTCAGCATTCTCCAGTGTACAGCAGTTGCAAGTAGCCTGTCAGAACAGTGTGGCTCACATTGGCCCAGGCAACCTCCGCTGGAAGGGAAGGAGCAGGGAATGAGGTGCCCAAGTGCAGGTGTTCAGGCAAAGTTCCGGCAATGCTTGGACAACATGGCCTGCAGCAGATGCCTGAGCGACGGATGTCACCGATCGACTCACAAGGCACTGCTGAGACTGTGACTTCCTTGTTGGTTGCTCTGCTTGCATGTCTGAGGAATGGGTCCAGATGCAGCGCTCTTTCCGTGTCTGACACTCACCTCTTTGCTTGGAGTGCACAACAATAAATGCTTGGCTTTGATGTTCACACAGTACCACCTAGGCCAAGTCTGTGGTCGCACATTCAGTGCGGACCGGGTTCACAAACACCAGGCCACGACTGCACCATTTTCGGCAACAGTCAGCAAAATGTTGAAATTGCACTTATCCTCGCGGAACAGTTCCGCGACCCTTCTGCTTCTTTTCGATCTCGTCATGGTCTTCACCAATATGCCCACCGCACGAAGACGAAGATGCTATGAAGAAAAAGAAGAAGTAGACGGAGAAGGAGGAGAAGAAATTGAAGAAAAGGCAGAAGAGGCTTTAACAGCAGCAAGGCAATGCATTCCAATGCTGCTACTGCAGCTACATGACGACAACTACGACACCTAGAGTACGATGACTATGACTGTTTCGCTAAAACTGCGACGACTGCGACTGCTTCTGCTGCTGCTGCTGCTGCTGCCAATGCGGTACTCCCAAGCCTACGCACTAAACTCTGATCCCTGGCTAAATCTGAAAGCCTTCAAACATTGCTGAACCCCCAAACGCCACTGGCAAAACGTCTTGGGGATGAAGGTAATTGCGGTTTGAACATGGATACGGTGGTCATCGGACACAGTCGAAGATGAACGTTATGGTGGTTTGGGCATTGATGCTGTGGTCATCGGACACATAGCATTTTTGTGGTCCTGGAAATTTCATTGTTGGGGGTTGGGCTTGACTGGGCCATTCACCATTGGAGGGGGGGGGTGGGACCTGCCAGGGTTGTGGGTTAGTGAGCAAGAGGGAGTAGAGAGGGTTTTATAGGGTTCCAAATGCCTCAGCCTGGCGAAGAGAAGCCGACCAAAGGCATCTGAGTAGTATTTTATTTGGGTGTATTATGGTACCCAATATAGAGTAAGATTGTCCTCTTTTGGGGGTATAGTATTTTATATAAGGGATATTATCTTACTAGGTTCAACCACCAAATTAAACGCTACTCATCTGTTCTACAAAGCACCGGGTGTTGAGGCCATCTGCTTGAAGGTGAGAAAGGCGGGCACTCTCTTGCTGTTGAGCTCCAACATCCGCAACAATCATCTCAGCCATGCCAAATACCGTCAGAAGCGGCCCGTCTTCCGTGCAGAGAAGCAGCGAGTTTTCATGGAGGCATCCTTGCTAGAGAACAGCGCCGGTGTGTGGAGGTGCGCGCATCAAGCTTTCAGCCTGTCAGCTCCGCCGAGGGTGGCAGCGGTGGTAGCGTCGCCGGGACGGCGCTGCAAAGCACCTCACATCATGCGAGGCACTAGCGCTAGCGGTACTCTGTGTCTTGAGTTCTTGGGGGCCCGCGGCAAGATCAGGCTGGGAGCCAGAAAAGCCCGAATCCAAGCACATGGTGTGTTTTCCTTGGTCGAAGACTCGACTTGGTTAGGCCTTGCGAACCTTCAGCTCAGCGCCACAGGCTCAGAGCTGGAATTGTCAACAGCGTGGCCTTCAGACTGGCTTGTGCTCTTAGGTCCTTGAACACCAAGTGGCGTGAGCAAAGCTGGATGCCCCAGCCCACCAGGATGAAGTAGTTGTCATCACCGGCGCCAGCCTCATAACGGAAAGCTAAATCAACGTAAGAAGAGAGACGAGAGGGAGCTGGTGGGCTTCTTGCACTCGTCGTATTTGTCGTGTTCCACTTTGTTGAGCCCGCAAGGCCACTTGTATTGAGGCTCCCCACAGTAAGCAACCTCGCACGGACATGGGACGATTTTGTACGATTGTCCCTTGGATACCGATGCCTATGGTACAGGATATGCACAGGATCCTCACCAAAGTGCAGAATGCGGCATATACAAGTGCTTTCGTCATGCCAAGATGAGCCTATGTTTGGGGTGCTTCAGAGGATTTGCAGCAAATCTCGTGGTGAAAAACGGCCAGAATCACGCAGCAAAATTCAAAACATGGAAAGCAGAGCCCGATCTGAAACGTCTGCTTCTGAGCTTGGTTTTGGACCAGGTCTGGCGAGTCGGGTGTGGGTTTTCGGAGTCGTGGGAGAAGTGGGGAATTTGGGCCTAGATGGGCAGTTGATTTGCAAGGCAAGAGCTTCCGAGAAGCCATCAGAGCAGCGCAAGCCCAAGCTGCACATGGAAGAAGTTCGGTTGATACCTCTTACATGTCATCACTGCTAATTATTCTGGGGTGACACGGTGAGTCATAACAACTGAGTCTTATGGTTTTCGGATCACTGTGGATCCCTGGCTGGCCCTGGGCGCATGGTACAGCGTGAGGCCAAAGGAGCGCCACCGATGCCTGTGTGGGGCAAGGATTCTCGGCTCTCGCTCCAGCCTCGGCACAGTTTTCCAAGCAGCGCGTCATCAGGAGCGGAGCACCCGCGCAGTTTAATGTCGGATCTTGATGAGTGTGGGTGCCCCCCACGAACAAAAAGGGGTCTCTGCAATCAAACGTCAGCCAAAAGAATCGGGGATCTGGGGGATCGTATGGCCCATTATGGCAATAAGACAGATCTTTCGGCTGAATGGCTCAGTTTAATTTCGAAGAGAATAGGAAGTGCAGGGTCCTCGGTAATAGGAGAGAGGGAAGGAAAATGAAGTATCTCGGTTTAGTTCAGCTTGGTTGAGAATAGGAAGGGCTGGGTCCTCCGCAACAGAGCTCTCGTCCTTCTCTGTAAAGGCTGGCCTTTCAAGCCTTTTAACATCAGTTGCAGTCCATTTGAAATCATCGAACTCTTTCAAAAAATCTAATTGAGGTCAGTTACTGATTCAACCTCTTAAGATCTAACCAACAAAAGTAGACTTCAATGACATCGAATTACGCACGACTAAAACCACAACTAGACAGACCTGACCACTAGCCCGCCAAAGCAACCTCTACGCAGTTGAACCCCCACCCAGTCTTTGCTTTAATTGAGGATCAGGGGTCTGCTGGACTGCCCCCTTTGGAGTTCGATGGCATAGCCTGTGAGAAATGCGCGGGGTTTGAAGCAAGATCGATGCATTTTTGGTCACACCAGAGTCCAGGTTCCGAAGCCTTCCCCAGAAATATTTGGGCGGAAACAGCCTGAATTGGCACCCCCCCGATGGCACCCCCAGAATCCAACAGGAGGTCCAGAATAAGTTTCTGAAAGCTGTATATTAATTGTAAGTGCTGGGAGCCTGCTTGCCACAGTCCAGCAAGTCCAGCGGGCTGGGGGGCCCTACCCCGCGGCCACAATCCTGGAGTGCAGAACATCAGGTCCATGGGGCAAGGAGTTGTTGAGGGACCGGGTGAGCGCAGCAAATTTGGGGTGGGGAGGGAGGGAGAGGGGGAGAAGGCTGAATCCTGGTCAGCTTGTTCCAGACGCCTGTCGGCCACAGGCCAAGCCGAATTGCATCCCCACGCACTGATCAGGATCCAACATTACTCAACGAATGTAGTTCTGTGTTTCAAGTGGTCTCCCAGGAACGGTCAGCCTCCCTTGCGAGGTGGCGTGCGGCAAAGGTCGGCATCCCAAGCGTTCATACGTGTAGCAGGTTCACTGGAGTTTTGTGCGTCTAGGGCGTATGGACTACAGAGGGCGGAGCGGCTAGTTTCAACAGGACCGGGCTTTGTATGTGGCAGCATGATGGCTCTGAATCCTGCAGTTGCCACATAGCAACGGATTAAAGTGAGCCAAAGCCAAGCTGACAGTCGGCTTCTAGTTCTGCTCTTCAAATCCGTGGTTCTCAGGGTTGACTTGGCACCTTCAACACTTCTTTACAGGCACAAGCAGAGCTGCCTACAAGAAGTTTTTCATGCCAAACTCTCACCAACTCGCCGATAGCCGATGTGCGCGCCAGTGCGCAGATGCCAGCCTGACATGGTTACCATGATAGGCGGGCCATCATGTGTTTCATTGTCGATAGACTATGGCGTCAGCTTCAGCGAGCTGTAGCGGCATGTGCTGACGGGCTCGCAACAACAAGGAATATCTGCAGGGAGCTTGTAGGTAGCTTGCCAGCATTGACGTGTACCATACTTGTGTAATGGTACAGAAATTGCAAAGACCATCATGTGCAGACTGAGCGGCGCTGGGCAAAGTTGCAAACGGCGTGCCCTGCAACTTGCACGTTGCAGGAAGGCAGAATGGTCTGGACACCTGGCCCCACCACAAAAGGACACCCAGCAATGATGGACCGTGCCTCCTGGTTACGCGAGTCATGTATATGATTGTGCAATCTTCTACACATGTGAACCTGGCCAATACAACAAACAAAATGAGACATGTCTGGAATAGGAAGCCGGCAGTGCTGTCCCGTGTCTTTCTGGCTGCCTGCATGATTGCAGACTGCTTCGCCGCAGATTGGTTCAAGGGGTAGGCAGGGCTGTAATATTTGAATCTAGTTGTGCAGCGATGGAGGCACAAAAGCTTATGAGTGAAGAGGAATCCTCTGGATCGGAGGCCAGAGTGATGAGTGCATCTTGTCTGCTCACGGGATAGACTCTACCAGGTAGATTTCTTCGGCATGGAGTCCACGAGTGTTGTGTGACAGCGTCTCTTTGCGAATGGCACTTGGCTGGCAGGAAGAAATCTCGAAGGAGACGCGACCTCCGTTCTTGATGTTGATGTGACTCTGCTGCAGGAAGGAGGGGCCATTCCACCATTTTCCCGGAATATTTACAGCCTTTCCCGACCAGCCCTAAGCAATTCAAAGCGCATGAAATGCCCAGGCAGTTGTGTTGCATCAGCGCAATCGAGGGCATGGATATGGGTTTGTTGCCGGCGGTGACGTTTGCTCTACAGCACGATCTGCATCTGCACCTGTCACAGATTGCGGAGATGAGTTTGGCTCAGGCAGTGGCACAGGCTCTTGCAGCGCCCGTTTGGGGAGTTTTAGCGGACCGGAAGGTATGTCGCAGAAAAACGCTTCTTGCCATTGGGGCGTTCTTTCAAGGCCTTTGTACCATAGCACTCGGTTGGACAGAGAATTTGGCCATGATGATTGTGATCAGAAGCATCAACGGGGCCATGCTGGCAAGCCTGAGACCTGTTTGCGTGGGAATCGTCGCGGACACGACATCAGAGCTGGGTCGTGGGAAGATCTACGGCTACCTACAACTCTCTGTGACAGCCGGCATGATGGTTGCCACTCTGGTCGGCACTCCCATGGCAACTGCCACTATTTGCGGGTTTCAGGGCTGGCGAATAGCCTTCGCGCTTGTGGGATTCTTCGGTATCTTTACGTCCATGCTGATAGCCGTCTTCATGTTTGAGGCAAGGCACGAGAAGAGCTGGAACAAAGAAAGTCGCAAACGTTGCAGCGGAGTCTATCAGGAGCTAGTGAAGTTCGGTGGCTACTTCCGGAAGCCAACATTTGTGTGCCTGGTGGGGCAGGGACTATTTGGAGCCATTCCTTGGAATGCTTTCAACTTCTCCACTCTGTACTTCCAGGTGGTAGGCCTGTCCGACAGCCACGCCGCAGCACTAACCACAGCCTTCCAGACCTGCTGTGGCATCGGCAACGTGCTTGGAGGCAAAGACACAGCCCACTAGGACACATATATGACCATGCTCTCTTCCTAAATTACCTCAACTGTAGCAACATTGTCCTTTGAAGGCTACATTGGTGATGCTTTGGCAAGACGATGTCCCTTCCTCAGAGCCACAACGATGCCACACTGCCAGTCTGTGTCAAACATCCTCCCGCAAAAAAGAGCATCTCTTGAATGTCTGAATGCCTTAGAGAGAGAGGGAGGCCAATCAATTCGGCATTTTGCCTTTCTAGTAAGTCAGGAGCCAGGAGCTGCGGTACATGGGGCTGGTGTGTGCTTGGAACATGCCGTAATATTGGCAGTCTAAGTCCCACAAAGTCACATCACCAGACGTCATGTCCCCCGGGTGCTCGCGCGAAGAACCAAGGTCCTAACCATGGCCGTGCCTTTACCGCCAACATGTCGGTGTCTTTGGGAATACCATGCGTCTTCCTCATCTATATGACGCAGCCGTCCGAAGATTACCGATTCTTCTGGTATCTTTCTTTGCTCATTTTGATGGGGCTGACCGCAACCTGGTGCCTGACAGGGGTAAATCTGCCTTTGCTGTCAGAGATAGTTGACCCGGCATCACGAAGCGGTATCATGGCTTGGGAGAGTGCGATGGAAGGGGCGATTGCAGCTGTTGCAGGCCCGAAGCCCTAAGTCAACCCAATCACATCCAAGAATGAGAATTCAGCATGTGACGGTGTATCCTTCGAGCCCTGAAGGCAATGCTGCGGTTGGATTTCTTGCGCAGACTGTCTTCGGATACAACTTGGCTGATGCCAAGCCATCCGATACAACGCAAAGTCACCACAATGCTGAGGCTCTGGGGAAGGCACTGGCCTTCACATCCGTTGTACCATGGAGCCTCTGTCTGGCTTGCTACATCTTCATGCACTGGGCGTTTCCATATGACAAGCGGCTCATAGAGGAGGAAAAGCGAAGGTACCAAGAGCGCCATGGAACGGAAACCACAACAGCCAGTGAGTTTGAGCTTGAAGACTTCGACTTGGATGAGAAGAATCGCGAGGATGAGGACCTGGAGTGGTTGGAACCCATAGGATGCTGAAGCTGTCAGCTAGAGTCAGCTAGAGCTGTTAAGCATGCGCTATTACGCTATTGCTGACAACATGTCAGCCCATCTCTAAATACACGTTTTCGAACTGGGATTTCAAGGGAGCCGAAAATCACGGCAGCAGATAGTTTGGAGCTTGCGTCAAAAGTGTCCCATCAGTTGCAGCCTCTTTGTGCCTTGCAGCAAATCCATGAGAAAAGCTTGGACCGTGAGATCTCCACATCACCGCAGCTGCGTTTAAAACGCCTTATCATGACGCGCTTATGACCATGCCCTGGGAATCATTATGGCAGGGAGCATGGCTGTTGGTAACTGAACTGCATCTTAAAGTATCCCTGCTTGTGGTCAAGACGCGACTTCCTGGGCTGAGAACCCGTCAGGCAGCTGCGGCAGTGGCAGTTGGAGCAGAGCGCAGGACTGTACCAAGTCAGCTGCGTGGCTTGGACAAGCAAGGACGGTTTTGTGAGATGCTGTGACGCATTGTGAGGTTTGCAGGGAGTTCGATTTGAGTGGCCGAGTAGCCATTAGCCAATGCACAGTCAGTGACTGAGTCAGGCGTTGGGACATTTCTATCTGGGCTTCGACCACACCCCAGCACTGATGAAGACTTCCGGCCAACAGCCACGCGTGGCTTTTGCACGAATCAAGCATGTTGCCCAGAAGGCAACAGGACAAGACACTCTGGTCGCCGAGCTGAGGTGAGTTTCTTGACCTCATGAAGCATAGCACGCCCTTCGCTGACGGCATTGAAAATGGTATTGTTGGCGACAATTCTAGCTGGGTCCATTATAACTGGCCTGAGGACTGCGATGACAAGCTGCATGCTTTGTGACGGCGCTTGTCGCCGTGTGCTGCTGGTCAGGACTTTCAAGTTGACTTCCGAAGGGATGGATATCCGCAAGCGTTGCCAAGCTTTACGATGTTTGGAGTTTCTTCGGCACATTGATAGCGGACTGTCTTGCTTGCGTCGCTGCATACGAGGTGTTGATGTTTTCTTTGTTGCAGTGACCAAAGGATCCTTGAGACAAACCTCAGTAAAAGCAACCATTGGCCTCGGCGGCGCTTTCGTGGAGGATGGAGAGTACGCGCCATCCCGAGTTGCGCATGCGGTGCTTTACCTTCTGGCCTTTTACGAGGCCTTTCCCTGCTTTGGAAAGTGTTCTATCTGTCAGGTTGCTACATGGCGGGGGAACGGGAACATCTCCTGGGAAGGTGATGCTGAAGTAATCGGCACGGAGGACCACCGCATCAGAGTTATCGGAGCAGGATGTAAATCAGAGAGTGTGTTCACAGGTGTTCATCTTCCGTGCTTGTTGGGGTCCAGGATACCAAGGCTGCCAGAATCATGGTCCGACCAAAGAGTGGTGGCCTGCCAAGCATGTAGTAGATAAGCAGGTAATAACGAGCGCCCTGAGCATGCAAAGCCTGTGCCTGGGGGTGGTGAGTGTGTGATGGCTGGAGGAGTGTCTTGAATGAAGCTGAAGAAGTTATAAACCCTATTTGGAAGACTGTAGTCCTGTTCATGTTGCATGGTACCAAGCTTTGCGCACCAACTGGAGAGGGGCACCCACAAACTTCCAAGCACGGCACCAGCCAATGATGCAAACAAAGGCCTCATAAGATGGGGGATGGCAAAGATTTGGGCCTTTTTGTCAAGAGCCATTCGTCTTAGGGCGGGCGGGTGGCTCTGAGGCATCTACCCAATCAAGCCCGCTTGAGGCATCATCGTCCGCGTAGTCGGGACAGATGAGAACAACCCACTTCACGGTATTACTCTGACTCCAGTTTCTGGGCTGCAGAGGAGGTCGTTACTGCAGGAGGTGAGGTGAGATGAACGAGATGTTAGTGGTCCATCTTGAGGGTTTGCAGCTACTGCTTTCAATGGAGGTTGAGTACCAAAACACAACTGAACAGCTCTTTCATCCACGCTTCCTGGAGATGCTGAATGGAACAGCCGTGCTTCGGTTTGCCAGTTGGCAGATGATTGATCCTTGATGGCAATTTGCAGCACTTATGACTTATGACCGGATTTCGCAAGCTCTGGGACCTGTTTCACAATTGCCGTGTCAACCTTCACTCTGGCGGCCAAGAATCTGAGCCTAAGCTTGGAAACCGCTGCATTTCTGGAACAGTAGGATGGCAGAGGTTGCCTCCAATCGCCACCGAACTGCATGGGCGCCGCAGAGGGGTCACAGTGGCGTACAAACAGTGAGAGCATCCGGAGGCCAACAAGGTTGACATCAGGCTTTGAGACATGCAAACGGCAATCAATTATGGCAAGAATCTCGGCGCACTTGCTGAATGTCAGGATGCTTGGGAGCATGACGGTTCCCTGGTGCGCAGCTGGGAGAACCGCACCTTGCCAACCGACCAAACACAAGCAGGCCGGGTCTGTCGATCCAAATGCCAAGCTTAGTGATCTTCCATTACAGCCCGATCCACCTTGTTTTGGCAGGCCCTTGGGGTGTTTGCGTGGAGTACATGGTGGAACTAGCCAACCGATTGGATGCTCGCCCGTGGTTTTCAATGCCCAAGGCCGAGACTCTGCATCAGCATACATGCAATACATACATTCCTCGTTAGAAACTGCCAGCGCTGCAGCCAGCTGAGCAGCGTTCTCTTTTTGTTGTGCTACTTATAAGTAAAGTTACGTTGGCGCATTTTTTTGAGGTGGATCACCAAAACGTGCGCAGCACTGGACGCGGAAGGTCCACGGAAGGGGATGGTTTCGCAGAAGGCTCGCGGAAGCCTCTGCTAAACGAGAACAAGGAGCACTGCTTCTGTAATCACACAAAAGCACCACCAGGGGAAAACTACTTTCCGAAGCAAATAGTTCGCGGAAGATTCGTGCATGCCGGGATTGTAGGGACGCTTCGGGTCGCGGAAGAGGTCCGCGGAAGGGTGTTTTACGCCATAAGGCTTTGAACAGGAATAAAGAACACGGCTCAGCTGCTCTCGTTGTGCTTGTGACGTGCAATCTCACATGGCGAGGCACCAGAGACCCAGCCTGATAGTGTGGATGGGTATGCGACCGAATTCGCATCTCAGCTGTGTCGGGATGCATAGGCAAATACGCGAGCAACGCAAATGCTGGAGCCAGCAAGGGTCGCAGTGAGTCTGACTTGAGGCTGGGCTGGTGAATCGAAGCCTGAAGGCAGAGCTATCAGTCTACGTGGAGTACAGATCTTGCTGCCGGAGTGGCTTGGCGCCAGGATGGGACTCACAGGCGCCTTGCATGGCAAACAACCACGATGCAAGGATTCAGAGGCAGCTTAAGTCATTTGATGTCTATTGGATTCCATTGGGCCTTTACCTAAGAGTTGCTGAACGGCTGGTGATGTTTGCTGTCAGCTGCCATTTCACTGTCTCCCCATGCAGCTCCCAAGACTCATATTTCTAATGGAGGTGCCTGGAGTTGTGACAAGGGGCGGAGAGCGCGTGCTGCAGCCACATCATCCACATCCACGTTAAGCAAACAGTTGCACAATACTTATCCACTACTACACAATGGTGGCAACTGTTTGCTGCTTGCTCTCCTGCTTCATTACTGCAAATTGTGGCGCATCTGCTGCAGCCAAATACAGACTTGCACTACTTGCTTTGCAAGACCTTTGGCCATGCAGCTGAGGCTTAGGGGTGGCCTGAACAGGAAGAGGCACGCAACGAGCACAGGGACACACTAAAGCACAACGAAGATTGAGAGCTCGAAACTTCTTGACTTGACCAAAGGCGCGCTTCTTCTCCAGGTTGTGCTCGGCGGATATGGCCAGCACTCGAAACGGCGTGTAGCAAAAGTATGTGGAGGACGATCTTAGATTGAAAAAGATTTCAGTCTGCGCGATGCAGCGACCTCCATGGCGGAACAGCCCGCTAGAAGCCCACTAGGCCAAGGAAATCTAGTGGGAGCTTCTTTACAGCTCCGGGTCTTACAGGCCACAGCGCAGCGCTAGCATTTATGATGCCGGAAAAATCTCAGAAGAGGCAAAGATGTTGATATGCTAGCCTACAAAAGCTGGTCCCGAGTCTAGCTAGTCAACTTGAAGGATTCTTTTAGAGGATTGACTTCTGAAAAGTGCCTGTCATATGGTAACCCTTGTGGAATTCTGTATCAACCCTGAAAACTAGTCACGAGACCTTGCGCGACAAATGGTTTGAAACAGAAGGCCTGTGACAAAGGTGGAGGCGCGACAATGCGGGCAAACTACAGCAGCTTCGTTTTGCTGAATGAAATTAAAGATCGATGGGTCAGGGCTCGGCCTGGCGCAAATTACCATAACCATGAACCTTCCACGCAGCTGGGGACTGAAGACACAGCTTGTACCCAGAGATCCAACAGCACCCTACCTGTGCCGCCCATCATGCCGCCCTCACTTGAACATCATGAGAGCATGGGCTAACGTGGAGATCGAGAGGTTTTGAGCAAGTGGAGACGGGATTGACGAAACGGCTCTCTCACACCTAAACGCAACAAAAAACCTCCTTAATTCAGTTGCATACCATGTTCTACCTGAAGCCCATGTGCATCTGCTTTCCAGGAGAATGCAGTACAATCGCTAACTTTATGGAAAACTTGGGAGCAAGCGGGCTTCAATCCAGATCGACTCATCAACGACCCCCAGCAGCAAGTCTTTATGAACTTGTCTTGTATATTGTGACTCGAGATATCTGTACAGAACTCCGGGGTCGGGAGTTGTGGGGCCGGTGGCTTCAGGTCATATCGTCACTTCAACAGCTTGACAAATTTGGGACTGATGTGACGTCGGTAGAAGCGGCCGCAATTGAAGCTTCGCCTGTGCCTTAGCATTGGCAATCCTTGGTCGGGATGATGTCGTATTGCCACGGCGACGTCCCGATGGCCCAAGGTTTTCAGACGTGTGCAAATATGGCGAGACGCCCTGCGTGGACTTCAGCTCCATGGAGGTGCCAAGGGATTTCGATCTTTTTTACAAGTTTGTCTCCGGTCTCCTATTGAGTTGTCTGAGGCCAATCGGAGCTTTGGAGCTTTGAGCCCCGCTGAACTGATAGATGCGGTGATTCGTCCTGCCATGTTGAAGCAAGAAGCGGAGATCAATCAAAGAGTTCAGCAAGCCCTTCACTATGGCTTTGAGACGCTTTTTTTGAATTTCACTGCCCAAGCTTGCAGCTGAGTTTGCTTGAAGTGTCAAATGACCAATGTATCAGAGCAAGGATCATTGCATTCAACGCGCTGCCCCTCATTTCAGAGTCAGCCTCAGTCATGTGCGAGAGTCATCAGCTTGTGTAAGCTTCTTTGTGGAAGCTTGTGCTAGTCCCAAGGCCCGGGGTTATGGACATCGTGGGAACCTGAATTGGGCCCTCCGATGCGAGACCTGCTTGATGCGAACGCTTGGGCGACGCTATGGTAGTAGGTGCGGCTGGTGGTCGACTTGGTAGGGTTTGATGTGTGCTTGAGACTTGCTGCCTGCAAGGGAGCAGTCGCAATTGGCGGCTGATGGCTGGGTTTTCGAGGCGCTTTCCCGCACGCCATGGTTGTACAGCAATGGACAAGTATGTTGCGCTGTGGCAGCAGTTGCTCCTGTGCTGGAACCAGCTGCCATGGTTGCTGCTGTGTCCGATTCATCACGTTAAGGAATGAGCCGTGACTAAGTGAAGCGTACGTGTTAAGTCAGGCAAGCTGTCTTTTGGATGCATCTCGCTGGCATGTGAGCTTTGCAAACTCTGATGTCAAAGCTCGCCTTTCGCATGATGCAACTGCGTCGAAGCGCTTTCATGCAAACGGCCGTGCGAGTGAGCTGAGATGATGGAATAACAGGGATTCGCACAATTCATCAGCATGTTCCCCACCGGAGTGTCTGTGCATTGCTTCCATGTTCCAGGTTCTTTATTGTTAGATATTGTAAGTTGATGCTAGCAGTTGTATCCTAGGAAGAGCGCTCTGCTCCTGCTGTACGCCTCACAGAGCACTGGCTCATGAAATAATGGCAAAAGTGCAAGCGGATCCAAACAAGGCAGACCTGAAAGCTCAGCTGCGAATTCCGAATACTCTTCAGTAAAAAGGCGGCTGGATGATGTTTTTGGATGTGACGGATGGGCGGCATCAACATGCTTTATCAGAAGCCTACGCGTGAGCTCGTGGCACCCCCCCTTCAAAAACCTCGAGTGGAGCACTCCAGAAGCCTCGCGCACGACGCACGCGCAAATGTATGTGAGATGCAGACAGCATCAAATTCCATTTGTGCGCAGGCTGACTTTGTGGCCTATAAAGGTTACGAGGGGCTGTTGGCGGAGGACCGGGCATCTGACAGTAGTGGCAACCACGGCAGCACAACGCATGAGGCCAGACTGTCAAGAATCAGAGTGCCTGTGAAACCGATTTAGGTACGTACTGGCTGCATGGCACTCCAGAGCAGGCCAAATTGCACTGCTTGAACATGTCCGTTGCTTAGCATCCCAACTGATGTGGATCTTCAAACCTTCCCTTGATTCAGCATCCAAGGTCCAACACAGGCAGTTGCGATGGATTTACTTACATCAGAAGCGGCGAGTGGAGCTGCGGAGTGGCTTCGGCTTTTTCCTTTGAGTTGTTTACAGCATGCTTCAAATCGCCTACATCAAACTCTTCAAGTCTCATACAGGCATTCGAGCAGCTTTCCTTCCTGTGTCTAAGGTCGGCAACAGCTTTCGCTATGGCGATTGCTCTAGCCCAGGAACTGCGTATTTCTTTCAACGGAGTCGGATCGGGGAGAGTTCTCGCGTTCCTCCGACCGAATGCTCTGCATTCACAGTGCACGACGATCCTTACGATCAATGTGGTCCTTCAAGAATTGACAGCTACTTCAGAGAGGATGCTCAAATTCCAGGCTGGCTCGTGCTTGATAGGTGTCGGTTATGAGGGTTGGGGGATGGAGTGTTCGTGACAACGGAGTAATGAGTAGGTGCTGGACTACCAAGATTTCTACGTATGGAAATAGGAAGATCATCCAAGGAATTGTACTCCATCGAATGGAACTAGGATGCATGAGATAACAGAGTACTAATCAAGTCAAGCTCCAAACTCATCCCATCCCACAGCCCCGGTTGCACACTTCTCTTTTTGTGCGTGTCATCTTGAGCCAATCCCATTGGCATTGGTACACTTCTCGATTTGTGCAATCAGCACGCTCATTAATGGCAACTTGGTACACTTCTTGATTTGTGCACCTCCTATGCAGGGGTCATGTCCATGCTTCGGCATGCAGAAACAACACTCCTCCTCTTTGGAGCGTCGCTTCCGACGTGACAAAGCCCAAAAGTTTCATACATGACCCTGAACCCTGTACATGAAATGCCAGTGCCTTGTACTTAGGACCACGATTTGAAGACGAACACAGCTTGCTTGGGCCTTTGCCTCTTGCGACGGGCCCCGTCCGCCTTGGCCTCTTAGGCCATTTCTTTTTTCGAGGCTAAACAGTTCTTTTGTCCCAGTGGACACGCGTGGTCAGGCACAGATAGCATTCCCCTACCAAAAGACAGCGAAAACTAAGTGGCCCCGTACTAATCAGTGGAAATTCCAAAGGCCTTCCTAACTAATTTGGGATTCTACTGCATCAGCAGCACAGCATGCAAATTTCATGACAGGCACTGTCATATGCCCCGGGTCGCAATGTACAACACTTCGGCGTACTACGACTTTTGACACACCCCTAGCATGTCCCTTGCTGCTGCCAGCTTCGTAGCAGCCAAAACTTTTGTGAGGCCATCTGCAGGTAACTCGGTTCCTGGACAATGGCTCAGGCTTGCTCCGGATGCACCCAGATGATCCCTGACGTATGAACAACGTAAAGCGAAATGCCTCGTGCGTTGTTCTTCAACAAAGTACCCGGGTTTAAGAAGTTGCTGGATGGAAGCCATGTTATCTCCCTGAACAGCATGTTCCAGTTCACAGCCTGCTATGCATTGAATCATGTGTTGAACCTTGCATCCCAACTGCAGTGAGGAGCCCACTGCGTCCAGTTCAGCTTCTGCTGGAGAAAAAGCTCTCAAGGTTTGTCTCTGGCTTTTGAAAGCGATCAAATGACTGCCCCAGTGAACGGTGCTTCCTGATCTCGACTTGCTTCCTCCAGGCGACCAAGACGCATCACTGGAGGTTGTCAAACGATTTCCTGCACTCCCTGTGGAATACTTCAAACCAAAGTCCTGGGTATACCGAAGGTAACGCCACAGCCCCTTCAAGAACTTAAGTGTTTCGGATGGATTGAATGACATATGCGAAGCCAATATTCCAACTGTAGCATTCAAGTCTGGTCTAGTACGCAAGCTCACCCAAAGTAAAGCCCCTACCTGGCTCTGACAATCTCGAAGTTGCTCCGTGTACGTCTTGTCTCGCTCTTGCGGTGAAATATGGCCCTCGTTGATGCTTGGCAAAGATTTTGTACCACTAAAGTTCTCCCAGCCTCTAGCCTTCAGCTCGCTCTTTATCCAGGCTTCTTGCGTCAAGAAAAGAGATCCGTCACCCAAACGACGAATCTGGGTTCCAAGGAACGTAGTTTCCTGGACGACTTTCACGGGCTTCCCAGCTATCTGAAAGGTACCTCCAGCATGAAGATTCAGGGTTGCATTTGTCAGCACGGCTTGAAGCTTTGTGTTCCAGTTCTCCAGGATGAGGCTCCCAACGCGCTGCACCACTTCAGGCAATCCTGCTAGGATACCATCGTCTACATACATCCCCAGAACCCCCAACACCTCACCAGGATTGTCAGCTTGGACTACTCTCCACAGACCCGCTGAAAGCTTCCACGGCACCAACTTCAAGGCTCCCAAAGCGTCCTCAGCTCCTGGAACCAGCACGGCGTTGTCCAGTTTGGCATCCCAGGCTTTTTCCCAGGCCTTCGGTGCAGCACGCAAACCGTATACCGCTTTCTTCACAAGCCAAATTTCATCCTCTGCCACTTTGGCCAATCTCTGAAGGATAGGTGGTGGGCGTAGCAGAATGACTTCAGATTCATCCAAGTCAGCGTTTAAGAAAGCCGTCACAATGTCCATGAGGGCGCATACCCAGTTGGGTTTCTGTGCCACAAGACTGATGATTGCTCGGATGGCTTCTGGAGGCACGTTGCTTGATTTAAATTTTGGGTCTCCGCGTCGGATGTCATAGTCGTAGTTCCCGCACGCCACGAGGCGTACTTTCGCACGATATGTTTCCCTATCATCTAGCTGCACAGGCGGAATCTTACCATCGGCTCCGGGTATCCCATCAGGTTTGGCAGTGATGACCAGTTTGGATGGCAATGTTTTGGGTAGTGGGTCTCCTGGACTCAAACCCAATGTCTGTCGCAATGTCTTCTTGTCAAGCTTCACTAAAGCTTGCTTGCTTTCGAACATTGTAGACAGCTCTTCTGCCAAACCGGAAATCCACTTTTCCCTCTTCCAATCTGGACCCTCTGTAAACACTCTGCCGTCAAGCTGGATATGGCTATCTTCTTCCGTCTCGCATCCGACTGCTTCGTCCAACGCTTGTGCTTCGGCCTTATAAGCTTCTTTTTCCAACTGTGCTGACCAGACCTTGTAACTGCTTTTCTCTGGGGCTGGCTTGATGTCTGAGCTCACAACGGCTTTGTTGCATGCCGCTTCGGCTACCTGAAAGAATTCAAAGCCTTCTTCATCTCCAGGACCCAGCTGTCTCTCCTCGAAGGTTAGCATGCCGAGATCCTGGGCCGGATCATTGGTGGTTTCAGCGTCGCGTACTTCGCCATCGTTGGCAAGCCAAATGACGTCTCCGCTAGGCGTTACATGCGTCCTCCAGGTTCTAGCCTGGGACGGCAACTTCGCCGGGGCCCGTGCTCGGATAACATACTCGTTGCCATTCCGCTTTACAAGACAGAATGCGCCCCTGCTAGAATGTTCGTCCTGGCAAAGATACGTCGCTTGTTCGACTTTGGTCTCGAAAGGCTCGGGCGCATGTCTGTCGATGACCACTGCCATACCTGGGTGTGGCTGTCCCTTCGGAACTCTTAGCTGCAAAACCTCGGATCTTTGTACGATGGAAGCTTCTACCATGAAGTATGGCCAGAATTTTACTGGAGCTCCAGCGCTCAGAAGATACTTTAAAGTTCTTTGCTTCAAATCCCGAATGGCGCGTTCGGCACGCCCGTTCTGTTGCGGGTTATACGGGATAGTCGTGGTTTTATACACACTGCCGGCGGCTAACGCATCTGCAAGTGTTTTCGTGATTAGTTCTTTCCCGTTATCGGAATGGAATCGAACTACTTGCGGAACTGCTTCAGCCATTGATCCCAGCTGTGCGATAATGTCCTTTGCAGCTGTGAGGACTCTCTGTCTGCTTGCGTGATTTCAAGGGCCGCGCGAAACACAAAGAAAGATTGTCCGAAGTACTGAATGCACCTACCAGCATGTACTTGTAACCCTGTAGCCCTTGCTTGTACGGACCCGCGATATCCACACTCAAGCATCCCGTTGCCCAGTCCTCTGGCCTGAGTCGTCGATGAGGCTTCAATGTACCCCGGGCGCCAAAATCTTCCAAGGTGTGTCCCGGACGCTGTTTGTGCGACATGCGTCTCTTCCTCCGCAGCATCTAGTTCCTTGCTGAGAACTGGATCCTCTGGGTCCAAGGAAACGCAGTCATCACCATC